GCTATGCTAGGGTGATATATATATATATATATATATATATATATATATATATATATATATATATATATATATATCAAAGATATGACAAAGATATCTCTATAATCAAACACGCTCGTAAATCCCTCTTATTCCACAACGGTAACGCTTGGAGAAAACGAAGCAACGATTCATTGTTTGATGTAACCATGGGCAGTTATGATGGTGCCGAGATTTGTGAGTTGATTGGTCTATTTGTCCTAAACAGACTTGCGGATGAATTCGGCAAAGAATATGTTGGGCTTTACCGAGACGATGGCCTTGCAGTAATCAAAGGCGTAAACGGCAGGAGTGCAGACAATGCAAGGAAGATCCTGCACGACATGTTCCAGCAATTTGGTCTTAAAATAACGGCCGAAGTTAACCATCAAGTTGTCAACTTTTTGGACATTACACTGAATTTAACCAATGGGAAATACACACCCTACAGGAAACCAAACAACGAACCATTGTATCTCAACAGCCGATCAAACCATCCACCATCAATCATAAAGCAAATTCCCAAATCCATCAACAAACGTATCTCAGCACTTTCTTCCGACAAGCAATCCTTTGATGAATGCAAACCTTTCTACGAAAACGCACTTGGGTTGAGCAATTACAACGTTCCCCTCCAATATTCGTCCAGCTGTCCGCCCTCTCCACCATCCACGAAACGTAAGCGTCAAAGAAACGTCATCTGGTTTAACCCCCCATTTAGCAAATCAGTGAAAACAAACATCGCTCGGATATTCCTACAACTTATCGATAAACACTTCCCCTCTACAACTCCTTTGCACAAATTATTCAACCGAAATACAGTAAAAGTTAGCTATAGCTGCATGCCCAACGTTAAAAGTGTAATATCTCGCCATAACAAGCAAGTTTTATCCAAACCCATAGTCGCTCCAACTCAAGATAATTGCAACTGTAGAAATCCGAAAGAATGCCCTTTGAATAAGAACTGCTTAACTAAAAGCATTGTGTATAAGGCAAGGGTGGCATCAGTCGACGGGCAAATTAAGGAATATATTGGAATGACTGCAAATTCGTTCAAAGAAAGATTCCGTAACCACAAGAAGTCGATTAACAACGAGAAGTATGAAAAGGAGACGGAGCTCTCAAAGTATATCTGGGGATTGAAAAGAGACAATACGGAGTTCGAGTTGAAATGGTCAATTCTGCGTCATGCTTATCCTCACAAACCTGGTGGAAAGCGTTGTAATCTCTGCATTGAAGAAAAACTTTGCCTTATGAAAGCTGATGAGCATATACTTTTAAACAAAAGATCAGAACTATATGCTAAATGCCGCCATCGCGATAAATTTTATGCTGGAAATTTCAAACGCACGCGCAAACATTAACAGTGCGCGTGAGCCGACCGTTAATCACGCAATCCAACGAACTGAATTTAATCGCCTGAAGATCGAGATAATCGTGAAACTCAGAGTAGCGATAGCTAAATAAATTCATTTTAAGACTTAATTTCATCTACTTAATTCGCTCTACTATAACATCTTATAGTATTGAGCACTCTTTTGTCTTTTCGAACAACAAGATTATACTTATATATATATAAATATATATATATATATATATATATATATATATATATATATATATATATATATATATTTAACAGTAGGTCTTTTTCTTTTTCAGTTTCTACTCGTAAGATATTAGCTCGTGGAGCAATTCCATTCTTAAACTTGCCAGTGAAGAGTATACCACCTCCACCTCCTGCTACACCAAGGCGTGATCTAGTGCGACAGCAAATTGATGATCCTGTCCTAGTGGTTTATCGAAACTTTAAACACTTTCAACAAAAGATATTACCATTGAAGATGAACAGATGGTGCAAAAAAGGGGAAGAGGACAGTATAGTTTTTGAGTTTTTTCAGCCACCTTATACCCTACCAAAGCTTTCCTTTTCAGTTGTTTCTGAACTCACCTTTTCTGTTGCTGTGTACAACTGGTTTTTACCAGATGACCATTATATTTATGTTAATCACAAAAGATCTTTAAAGCATACATCCATCTCTACCCTAATGGCCACTTTGGAAAGTGCTCAAGTTTGTCAAGGTCTAAGTAAAGAGAAACACATTGTCTCTTTATGTGAAGATCCCAGTCCGACTTGTGGTGCCAGCAGTGTCATGAGACATACAATCCCAATTGAGTGAAAGTGCTATGAAGAAGATGGTCCACCATTTCAGGCTCATGTGTTTATCAGGTCAGAGCATTGTGAGTTGCTTTGCAGCAACGTCTCCTGTTCTGATTGTATCAAGAAGGAAAAATCCCTTACAAAAATGAAAGAGAGTGCTGTCAAGAAAGGAACAGAGCCTCTGAAAAGTAATGCACCCCTGTCTGGCTCAAGTAAGGAGAGGTTAATTGCCACTGTTCAACAGCAAAGGCTGGTTTGTAAAGAACTTGAGGGTCGAATTGCTGAACTGGAGGAAGAAATTGAGAGCAACAGCATCCCTATCGACGAAACAATGGAAAAAGATATCTTGGCAATTCTTGCTGACAGAAGTGATGATGTAACCCCCCACATGAAAGTTTTCTGGGAGCAGCAAAGGAAACTACTAGCTATGCCAAAATTTGGAAGAAGGTAGTGAAGCATGTTTTTTGCATGACATAGTTTATCTATTCATACTTTTCACACACTGCTGGGAGGTATACTGCACCATGATAGTAGGCCTTAATATTGTTGTTTGAAATAGGAAAAGACATACAACAGAAGGAAAGTTATTGTAGACAGGGTGCTGAAGGCCATTTAAAAAAGATTGAATGAAAAGATATGAAAAAGTAGACTGTATATGGCACCCAATCTTTAATTCAATAACTAGAACTAGAAGTGGCTTTGTATAGTCAACCTGTACAATACTCTTAACAGTTTACCCTAGATTTATTATCCTGGATTGTGTGAGAAAACATTTTTGTGCCTTTGGCCCTTAGACTGGGAAAAATATTACTTATTTTATTTTACATTAGGCAATTAGAGTCTCCTGATGGATTATTATACAGTCATTAATATGTTTTTATTATTGCCAGGTACCATCCTCATATCATCCGTTTTCTGCCTGTCTCTTCATGCCAAGTCTCCAGCAGCATACAAAGAATTGCGAGAGTCTGGTGTTTTGGTACTACCAAGTGAGAGAACTCTCAGGGATTACCGAAATTTCTTTAAGCCAAGGGCTGGTTTTCATTCTGATAATATTGAAAGATTAAAGAATCAAACAAGCCAGTATTTTGACATACAGAGGTATGTTGTCCTTTCATTTGATAAAATGAAAATCCAATCAAAGCTGGTCTTTGATAAACACTCCAATTAACTAATTGGCTTTGTTGATCTTGGAGAAGAGGAACTGAATCTTAGCAGTGGATCGTCTGACCTTGCGACCCATGCCCTGGTATTTTTTGTACGTGGTGCTGCAAGTGTTCTTAAATATGCCCTTGCGTACTTTCTTACTAAAGATGTCACTTCATATCAGATAATGCCTTTGTTTTGGAAAGCTGTATCTGTACTTGAGCTTACGTGTAATCTCTGGGTTTGTGCCACTGTATCTGATGGAGCATCACCTAATCGCCTCTTCTACCAACTGCATTCCGATTTGGTCGAACCAGGTACAGAAGTGGTAAACTACACACCAAATCTTTTTGCTCCAAGTCGAAAAATCTACTTCTTCTCTGATGCACCACATTTGCTTAAGACTACCAGAAACTGCCTATTTAATTCTGGAAGTGGTAAGCGCACACGCTACATGTGGAACAACAAGAAGTACCTGCTCTGGGAACACATTGCCAAGCTATATTACTCGGATCTTGATTCGGGTCTCCACCAGCTACCTAAGTTGACCGTAGATCACATTGCCCTAAAGTCCTATTCAAAGATGAAAGTCAGCATGGCAGTGCAAGTGTTGAGCAATACAGTTGCACAAGCTCTACAGCGCCATTTCTCATCAGGAGAAGCAGAGGAAACCGCCAAACTGTGCAAGATGATGAACGATTTTTTTGACTGCATGAATGTTCGATCCACCACCGAGCACCAGAAGAAGCGCAACGCTTTATTAGCTCCTTACAGAAGTATGGATGACGAGAGATTCAATTGGCTGCAAAATGTCTTTCTGGAATACCTAAACAATTGGAAATTGTCGACAGAATTGAGAGAAGGAGCATTCACTGATGATGACAGAGGACGTATGTTCTTGAGTACCCAAACCTTCAGTGGATTAAAGATGTCAATCAAATCAGTTATAGCAACAACCAAGTTCTTGTTGAGTGAGGGGTTTGACTTTGTTTTGACTGAACGTTTTTGTCAAGATGACGTTGAAGAGTACTTTGGCTACCAGCGTGCCCAAGGACGAAGAAGTGACAACCCATCAGCTGCAGAATTTGGCTATAATGACCTAAGAATTGCCACCTTGCGAGATGTTGCACCCAAATCAATTGAGGGGAATGTATCAGGACGGCATTCCGGAAAGAAAAGTAAGTGGTGCAATGTGAGCGAGGAGCAGCTGCCCAAGAGAATAGTAAAAAAGAAGAAACCATTAACTGATTGACACTAATATTTCAGACAATACATATACAGGCTGCATCACCCCCCTCCCTATTGAAATAGAGCTTTTGTTGAAATTTAAGTGCATGAGTAACACAAATTAAGGTCTTACTTTCAATTTTAGGCATCTGTGGGTTTAGAATAATAATACTATCTGTCACAGACTAGCAAAATGTGCTGACTGCCTAATAAAGAGTGTTGTTTTTTTCAAATTGCATCTTTAATATACATAAGAATACATATGGGAAGCTTTTATTTTCATGAGTAACTTCATTGAGTTCACTATTTTTTGTAATGTGATGTCACAGCCTCACAGGATTCATTCTGAAATAAACCATGCTTTTAAATATTGCATACTGTAGCTGTACTGAAAGCAATGTTTATGAACTAATAATGTACAATAATGATCCTCGAGAAACCTTGTAAACTTAATAATTATATAGAGTATCAAATCACCATTTATTCAACCTTTAACCTCAAATGTGCTAGATTACTTATGACATAATTACAAGCATACTTCACTGGCTTTCTTCAGGTCCTTTCGTAGAGCTTTAGTTTTCTGAGTACGTTGACTCAGTTTATACTTATTTACAATATCTTTAGCCAATGAAAAAGATCTGACAGTAACATATAGTTTCACTACATTTTCCAAACATAAACATTGACATTCTTTTGAAATTTGTACAGAACAGTTTTGAATGATATTGTTCCATAAGCTTTTAACAAGAGGGGAAGTTAATACTTCATTAACTGTAATGTCTACTGGAAGAAAAGTAACCTTGTCTTTATTTGTACTCTTTCTGAATGCCAACTCAGCAACCTCTGCAATCCTAACAATCCATTCATGGGGTGCCCAAAGTCCACCTCTTGATAAAGATGAAATATATTCATTCCTCTCTGTTTCCTGTCTCATTGATGACATCAAAGCTTGAATTTCTTTGTTGCGGGCGGAGTTGCTTCTGGAACAATTTTTGCTCTTTTGGTAAAATGATCGTATCACATAACCAGTAAGGTAAGATAATGGTCCATATTCATGAGGTAATAGGGACATCTCCTCCTAAAATTTAGTCAACAATTAAATCAAAAAAGGTTATCAGGACTGGCAAAATACTTGTGATTTTAACAATCTAAAATAAGAACTATACCTTTGATATTCCTTGGTCATCTTGACCTTTCTCTAGGAATCCAATCAGGCGTTGGGGAAGATGGATTAACATAAGAAAAACTATTTTCTGTTCTCCATAAGGATGAAAGAATTTTTTCCAGTTGGCATATGAATTTCCATAAAATTCTGTAAGAAATTTGTCTTGATTTCTCTTCCTTTTAAATTTCAGTAAGAGTTGATTGACAAAGCTGACAAATAAATCAGTTGGAGAAAGCTTGAATATTTCTGCTGTTTGTTCCTCTTTATAAAGTTTTTCGTCAACCAAATGTCGACCGATGTCGCGGATAATAGAGCACACGTTTTCTACTGATAACACATTTTTCTCAATTTTAGATGAAGATGAACTCTCACCCACTTGTTCGACGTGTTTACTCCGCTGGTGTTTCGTTAAGCCACCTTTTGATTTGCAAACTTTCTCGCAGAAGTTGCAAGGAAACTGCTTCTTTCCTTCTACCTGGAGGGAAAGGTGTAATAACAATTAAGGTTTTAGTAATACTAACGGTATGAAGTGTAACTACCGTATGACTATACCATTTCTATTACCTCTTCAAGCGAGTGTTCAACTTCCGACTGAACCTCCTCAATATCCATCTCGAGAAGTGCCATAGTTTGCTCGAAGTCGGAGCAAAGGCTAACAGGAAACTCGGATTCGTACTCATCATCTATATCCATGTTTCCAATACGTAAAAGCTGAGTTTTATTGTGTCTATTCGAAGAGTATCGCTGTCTGAAGGTTCACTAAATATATTTGTGACTTGAAATATGATAGCTGGCACCCCGTCGATACTATATACAGCGGAAGCAGCTGGACCAATAGCACATAAAAAGGTCTCAAACGTTGCCTTTCGCATAAGTAAAGTACGACAAAAATGCAATATTTATGAAATCGTTGTAAAACTATCGAAAAAATCCAAATTTTCTGATCGGCAACATAAAATTATACTACAAAATTAAAATGTATGCACCTTGACTGTCACGTGATGTCTTTCTTCAAGTTCAAGTATCGAATAGTCACGTGTCACTTTGAAGTTTGCCGGTCTTCCAAACCCTCCCACTACAATAACTATGCCTAGTCACATTATGATTTCTCTTCAAAGCTCGTTCAGGTCTTCAATTGCTTGGAGTCACTGAAGCAGAAACCTCTCAATATTTAGCAAATAAGAAGAACTTATAATTTGGCTCGGAAAACCTTTTTCTTAGAACTTGATTTACATTTCTATACCCAGCCCATCGGTATGTAATTATTTTTATGGCCTGTACAGGGTGTCTCAAAAAAAACGCAACCACTTAATATTCTAATAGTCATATTGTTCATAAGCTCAATAAATTTTATGCCCCTGGGATTTTAGATGGCTTCTAATCGTACAGTTCAACTGCTAATAGTCAAATCAGCTACACTAATAATGGTGCAGCTAACAACCGAATAGCCAGTTTTTATTGTCGTGCATGATAACTTGAATGCTAACTGTCGACCTTGTAAAATAAATTGTAAATAAAATTTTACTCGTTAAATACTTTCAGTTCAGCTCGTTGGTTTACGCACCCGACTTTGTTTACCGACGATTGTGCCGCTAGAATATGATTACAAGTTTTCTCGCATTCCAGGGGCCAAACGTCTTTTGTGTTGTAGAACAAAGAGGATATTAATGAATATTAAGCGTTGCGTTTTTTTTTTATACACCCTGTAGACTAGAAATGCAAATTTTATGTTATAATCATTATTCATTTCTTTAGAAATTCATTGTTTTCACGTCAATGAACACCAAAATTTTAGCATATATAGCATGACTAAAATTTCCGGCTGGCTACGCCATGCACTGAACGTTGCCGCTTTCGGTAAACGGTTTCCGGTAAACGTCAATCTTAAGGTCCCTAATCTCAAAGCGTAGGTCGCCTTCTTTTCCACTCTAAAAGTTCGAAATATATTGCTTTTCGCAAACAAAACGCAAAACAAAATTTTTAAATTTACGGTTCGGCTAAAGTGAATCACGCATCAACGTGTTAAGTAGCTTTTATTTTCTATTTACGCGAGGTAGGAGATCTTTACAAGGGTTTATTAAAGTTCAAAACTGTTCTTTTCTTTCTCCGTTCTTCTCTTCTCTACTTCTCGATCTTCGTCGTTTTGCGTTCTTGTCTTTGGTCGTCTGTTCCGTCAGGTTGAGCTTCTTAACGTTTCACATGCTTTTTACTCCGCTAGTCCACTGAAGGTTGGGGTGTTGTGCACGCCCTTTTATAGTAACGGTTGAGGGAAACTTGCAGACGTCATCAACCAGAGTGGGCTGATCCTTATCCAACCAATCAGCGTTGTAAGTTATAAATGTGGGTTGGTCTTAGAAGCTCGTTCCAGCTCTCATACCTTGTTTGTTTAAGGCGTTGTCGCAGTAGTCGAGTTGGTCTTCTGCTCAATCGATCAATACTTAAAAATGTTCACAACTTAAAATATTCATCATCAACAACTAGTAAAATATACCAACAATACGTCTGTGAACAATATCTTTCAACTTAAACTATTTTCACTCTTATTTTATCGAACTGAACTTTTGATGACGTAATCTATTACATGCTTGACCGAGCAACATTTTTAACACAATTGATTGACATAAGAACTTGAATGGCCTACAGCACGCACACTTTTTATAAAAATGCAACCATTAAGATAAGTGAAGACTTAAGACTGTTTATCCAGGTATTAGTTCTGAGAGGATTGTAAATATTTTCACCTTATTTCTTATTTAATCCCACGATATGTCATACATGAAAGGGAAAGGCGATTAATGTTTGCTAATGGCCGAAAATTATATTTACTCAGGCGTCTTGTGGCAAAAATCATTCACTAATCCCTGTCATGCTATTGATATTCCTATTTTTACAGCTATTTTTATATGCATATCTCTAAACACAATAAAGCTTTGCGTAACAATCCTCCTCACCTAGAATAAGCTGTCCCCAGCTTCGAGTGAGCTATGATGAACTTAAGTGGACTAAATATAATAGTATCATAGATATGTGTGTATATAATATGTTTACAAATTCCCAACTATTCTATTTTTTTTTTTTTGAGCTCGACGTGGCTATCACGGGCATATTACCAAATGCCTAATAACTGAGACCATACACATAGTACGTGTTGTTATTCTACGACGACACTACATAATCGATTATACGAGATACAACTGATCTAAATATAATTGACTTATGCCTACATGCACCTCAGGGGTAATCTAACTATAATAGTGTCAAATAATTATATTAAACACGTCAGAATATAGCAATATTAAACCAAAATTAGTGTGAAAACAAGGAGTAAAAAAATTCCTGTTTTCCTGAATGTATGTACCAGGGACTTAAGCGAAATTATAAATTTTGTAGATGCAGTCAGAAAGTGTACCAAAAATTATTCAAATTTCATAAAATATCTTATTATTGCAACAGCGAAAATTGTATTCAGATTCTTGGTTGATCAACTCACATAACAGGAAATTATTATAAAGCTCTTCCGACAAAACATCTCTCCATAATAATAACCTAAACCTATATATACGTCTTAATAATTCTTCAAAATATTTCAACTTATGCAAACAAATTTTATACGTATACTTCTTAATATAACTGAAACTCATTTTACTTTTTTAAACGTCATGCACGGCAAACCAAACTCCAAAATGTAGGTTTTCATCGACAATATAAATACCGAGTCTACATAGAGAAAACAAGAATGTGCCTAATATTTAAGCTTTTGGCTTGAAAAAGAATTGTAATCCATTACAACAAGTTTGGGAGACCCTTGACTGTCCCGGGGGAAGAGGAAAATATATTATCAACGAATGACGCATAACTAAAAGCGTCAGAATTAGATTTATATACTGACCCAATTAAAAACATGCATGCGCTATCTTACGGCAACATGTTTAATCAGCATGGTGAGTGTACCTAAGGATTTTTAGTTGAACAGCTATATACTCCCGTGTTTATTATTATCGCACATAAACAAACAAATGATAAACATATACGTGTAACATGAGAATGACAAAAACTTATATTATACAAATCTTAAAATGCGTCAGTTTCATGTCCATAATACAAGCGTTCTGACCATCAGGAAGGATCCGGAAAACTCTGAGACTTTCGTACGTCTCAATAATCATATTTCAACGACCACGGAGGCTTCCACTGATGCGTCTTTAGCTGGATTTCTGGCATAGCCAACACGTTCGGATAGAGGGAGTACATGTCATCAAACTCGTCTTGGACTGCAGACTGAGGGCAAAACGACTGTAGTTTCAATTCAAGTTCATGGAAAGTGTAGAGGTTGTGGACAGCTGTCTTGAAGAGACATCCAAAACGTGAAACAAGGTCTAGCGTTGCCATAAGTAGAAGTATGGATGAATACAGTACGTGCGTTTCCTTCAAACCAGTCATCAGGTCGTTTCAGCAAGGCCAGTATTCACTCGTTGTTACTATAGTACATAGGCGAGGTTTTTTTTTGGTTTTTTTTTGAGCCGTTCCTCCACAAAGTTGTTATATATCTTTTCTAACGTTTCATATACTTTTTTTTTATTTTCTCCGGTAGTCCACTCCGCTAGTTCACTTCGCTAGTTCACTCCGCTAGTTCACTTCGCTAGTTCACTCCGCTAGTTCACTCCGCTAGTTCACTCCGCTAGTTCACTCCGCTAGTCCACTGAAGGTTGGCGTCTTGTGGCAAAAATCATTCACTAATCCCTGTCATGCTCTTGATATTCCTATTTTTACAGCTATTTTTATATGCATATCTCTAAACACAATAAAGCTTTGCGTAACAAACGTGATATCGTTAAATATTTTAACGTGAAGTAAAAGTAATGTACTTTTTATTTTAAACGAGAAAAATATGTCGAATATATAAGTAGTAAGTTTTCTAAAATATTACAACTTTGAATTTCTTTACTTTCGGTGATAAAATTATATAGACTCGACGAATTTCCGTAGAATAGCAATAACGACATAATTTATGAAACTCGTTGCGTACCAGTCGCATTATTATTTCTCTTCAAAGCTCGTTCAGGTCTTCAATTGTTTGGAGTCACTGAACCCCTCAATATTTAGCAAAGGAGAAGAAATGATAATTTAGCTTGGAAAACCTTTTAGTTAGATCTTGATTCACCCTTCTATACCCAGCCCATCGGTATGTAAATATTTTTATGGGCTGTAGACTAGAAATGCAAATTTTACTTTATTATTATTACTCATTTCTTTACAAATTCATTGTTTTCACGTCAATAAAAACCAATATATTGGCATAGCATGACTAAATTCTCGGACAGTCTACGCCACTGAACGTTTGCCGCTTTTGGTGAATGGTTTCCCGTAAACGTCAGTCTTATGGTCCCTAATCTCGAAGCGTAGGTTGCCTTCTTTTCCGCTCTAAAAGTTGAGAATATATTCCTTGTCGCAAACAAAATGCAAAACAAAATTTTGAACTTACGGGCCAGCTAAGGTGAATTATGCATCAACGTGATATCGTTGAATATTTTCACGTAAGTAAAAGTAATGTACTTTTTATTTTGAAGGAGAAAAATATGTCGAATATATAAGTAGTAAGATTTCTAAAATAATACAACTTTGAATTTCTTTACTTTCGGTGATAACATTATATAGACTCGAAGAATTTTTGTGGAAACAGCAATAACGACATA